GTGTTGTGTGTGTGTGTGTGTGTGTGTGTGTGTGTGTGTGTGTGTGTGTGTGTGTGTGTGTGTGTGTGTGTGTGTGTGTAAGTTTCTTTCGTTTCGTTGTAACAGTATTATTATTATTATTATTATTATTATTATTATTATTATTATTATTATTATAATTATTATTATTATAATTATTATTATTATTATTATTATTATTATTATTATTATTATTGTGAAAATGATACGTGCCAAAAAATATTTTGCAATACTGACGGTTGATTCTATTCACCCATTTCTTGCATAATTCCTCGATAATTACTCGTTTTTTATTCGATGACAACAATCTGTTTTAAATTAAATCAAAATCGAGAAAGAGAATTGGACGAACCGATGACTAATAATTTTTTCAATTGATTAAAATTTTTCTTCCATTCTGAAACTTTTTTCTGCGAGGAATTTTTTTAATTTCAAAATTATAAGCTCGATTCGTCTAATTTCTTCAGATTTAAGAAAAAGCAGTAATATCGAGAAGTCAATTCAGTGTTTCTCAACCAATGATTTAAATAAAAGAGAGAAAAACTTAACGCATAAATAAAAAAAAGAAAATTTAATCTTCCCTATTGGAGGTTGAGAAACGCTGCAAACATGGATGCGTCATACATATATGCGCGAGTGAACAACAACCATTTCCAGAATGTCTACGTAATTCTTCGCTTAATAATATTATTCTTATCGATAGAAACGAACAATAGTACTAACCTAATTTATCTCTTCGATAATAATCAAAATCATTGCATTTACCTTGTTAAGAAAGAAACTTATTAAAAGATTGAATCTTGGATAATTTTCACTTGCTCGTTACTATTATCGGATATAATAGATAATAAAAATGTTTGTTCATAATTAAAATTATTTTATTATTCTATATTTATCTTGGAATAAATAAAAAAAAAAACAAAAAAAAAACATTCGTTCTTTTAACCATTATCCCCCATACTAGTGACTTGTCTCTAAATCACAATCGCATTTGCATATATGATATCGTGATTAAGTTGTTATCGGATGACTAATAAATTTAATTATACATTAAAGAAATAAATTAAAACGAATAAAGAATAGGATTTTTAATAATATTTCCTTCGTATAAATAAACAATGTTACGATTAATAAATATTTGTTATTTTTCTATCTGCTTTATCACACGGTAACTATGTATGAAATCTTTCTTTGGGGAAATAAATCAACGTTAAGGAATATACATATTTATCAACATATCACTTGAATTCGCAATTCGTTATTAATTTACAGTTTCATTATTTATCTTTTTTTTCTTTTCTTAATTATAACCGTTCGACAAATTTATTAATTTTTATTGCCAACTATATTTATCTTTCTTTTCTTTTCCGTTCTAACTCTTTCGATTCAAAAATTGAAGATAATTTCTATTTAATCAGCGCCATTTTCCACTCTAATTAAGGATGTAAATCGATTAAGAAAAAAAAGCTTGGTCAACAACGAACCTAGCGGCTACTTCTTTAACTAATTCACTTCGTTTATCGAAACTTCTCATCGACGATGATTTAGTAAGTAACAATTGAAATCTAAAGATATATATATATATGTATACATATATACACGAATATACACATATATATATATATATATATATATTCGTAACTATCGTGCACTTTGTTTATGGTTAATCGTCGATGAAAATATCTCTCCAAACGATCAAACAAGTTATCACAACCACTTTCCACTTTAATTTCTTCTAATGTTTCATATTTTAAATATACTAAATAAATGTTTCTTTTTTTTTCTTTTTTTTTCTTTTTTCTTTGAAATAAAAACACATACACAACTAAATCGATAATATCAACATTTCTTTTCTTTACAAATATAATCACAGAATTCTTCTTTCTTATATATCGTTTTCATATTCTAGAAGAGAAAAAGAAAGAAATAAAAAGGAAATGTATGTACAACGTAATGCGTTGCGACGTTGAATAGATATCGAATCAAATCATTTTCATTCATTTCAAAGATCTATTCGCAAAACCCGATTTGTGCATACGTTCGATTTCTCGATTCTTTGTTGACCACCACGTAATTTCGTAATTTATTTCTGAATTAATACGGCTAATTAGATACATCTACTTAGGCTTAGATAATTCTATGTAAGGCATGGAGTATGTCATCTCGTTATCTGGTATCTCGTTTTATCTAGATTATTCGTATATCTTTATAAATTTTTTTTTTTCTTTTTTTGCTATTTCTCTTTCAACCAGCCGCTCGGCACACACACACACCTCCTTCTTTCCCGTTTTCGCCTTCATACGCGATCGCACGTTTTCTTTTCTCACTTTTTTCCATTTATCTTTTCCAACATTCTCTCCCTCCTCTCTCTCTCTC